CTGTTCAAATGTCCACATAATTACCGACATATTTCTGTCCGTACCCAAATGCACTACAAATCATCGCTACAACGAAAAGTCAGGTAAGGTTAGGGCACTTATTATAACACAGAAATTAGAAAGTATGAAAGGCTTTTTATCTTCAGTTAAGATAACTACGGTGAAGCATTACATTGTTGCGTACCTTCTTCAAAATGCAGTATTTCATTATGAAAACGTTTGTGCTAAACAAATGGAAAAACAACCTGGAAAGTGCAGATTACTCTTTGATTATTATCACTTCAAAAATTAGACTTTCACGTGATTACAATTTTAAGATTAGATACATTTTGCTAATCACACCATATTAAGATAAACTTTGAACTTGTTTTGCAGACACTGGTACATTTCACCAACTTTACAAATTTATTGGTTGGTTAAATTTGTGAAAATATCTGATATTATTATAAATAATCATGTTTCAGACATAGTTTTTATTTTAATACCATGAAAGTATCATCAAACAGTTATATATTATTGATTTAACTCTCAGTTAATACGTCACATACTGAAATGAATAAACCGTAAGTTATTAAATATAATTGTTAATACTAAATAAACTTTGTGATGTTCTTCGAGTAATGGAAATAATATGAAATACCGCTACAGTACATCAAGTATATCTGTTTTACCATTCATAATTTGTACAAATCAATTAGCTAAAATAGCTCACCTTCATTATATAATTTAAATGAATTTTCTCCTTCCATTCACGATAGATTATGAAATGACTCACATAATATAAGATATGATGAAATTGAAGTTCATAGCTCGGAACTTCACTGCTAAATATTATAGAACGCTTTTCCGTATAGTGTCAGCAAAACTAGGATACTGTGTAGCGAAACAATAGTTGGATATTTTTAGTAACTTGAAAAACTCCGGGTGTGGCAAGCTTTGGTTTCGAACTAATCTGTGTTCCAGATGTGTGGATATATTTATCAGTAGATAAATTCCTACAGGTTAAAAGACCATATATTCTATGTTTGCATCTACTTAAGTCTACCATAAACTAACTACTATTCTTTTTATTAAGAGTTTATTTGGGGAGTTATTTGTAATCTATCAATTTTTTCTTACAAAATTGGAACGATTGATACTGAAAGGCAAATCATGTACTTAAATAATTAAAAGTTGATATTCCATTCCTCACAAGGGATTTGAAGTGGTTCTTCCAGTAGTGAATACGAATTACTGCTAGCCTAACTAGGTATTGATATTTTCAGACTTATAAAAAGCATTTGAAATAAATGAAGAGATAATTGTAAACTTCAACTAAAAATGCTATAGGTCGTTGTTATCTTGATGTAGATATATACGGAAAATCGCTACATTACCATTTCAAAAAAGCTTTGAACAAATGAAATATCCTCTTAGAATGTGACAAAAACACAGTGAAATCACTTTTCTGCTACGAATTTTAATATTCTTGTTTTAACCACGTTATTCATCACTTGGCTTCTATTTGTAGATCTTCACTGCATCTTTTAATGAGTATCATTTTGTATTTGGTTATCGGTCATCAATCGTGGTCAGTCGATTTCGTGTAGAATCTGTCTAGATACGATATATTACCAATAAAATTCAGTATTGTTTCAACCGATAGGAGCTTTGCTAATACTTAATTGCACATCCAGTGGAAATAAGGCCTGTGGTTCATTAAAGCTATTTTTATGACCTAATCAAATTCTTATGTATGAATTAATTACTTCATGTTGTAAAGCTTTTATTGTTAAACAAACAGAAATATGGTATAAATTTATTTATTTCAATTATCGGTGCAATAAATATGGAATTATCAGAAGAGGTTTTGTGGAGATTTTAGAAATTTCAATAGTTGAAATCATGAGTCAATTGAAGCTAGACCACTATGGAAAATCTGATAGGTCTGATAGGTCCTGGGTTCGAATCTCGCGGGGGGCGAGATGCGAACTGCTGAGGAGTCCCATACTAGAACAAAACGGCCGTCCAGTGCTTCCAGGTTTTCCATGGTGGTTTAGCTTCAACTGACTCATGATTTCAATCATTGAAATATGAAATTATTCATTAGTTTGATTACAAAAAGTTGTCCAAAATACTGTTCAGGAATGTGACATTTTTTTGTCTGCACCATAGACCAGAAAAAGGCTTTTTTAATTAGAGTTCATTAAGTTTAAACGTTCTTTTAAACAAACTTATTTTGCTAATTCACAATGAAGAACGAGCATAAATTCTTATCTAATGGATTCATTGTTGAGGCAGTAAAAAACAGAAAGGCGATTGCCTCTTTACACTTCTTATTGTTATTGACGAAAATGTAACTTTTGAAACGTGAATAAACCGCAGAGCTGCAATAATAGCTTAATTTTTTCGCATAAACAGAGTTTGTTTCAATAAACTATCTATTTAATTCTTTCCATTTAATCCAACTGTATATATTCGAGTACAGGAATTTGGTGGTTAAAAAGTAACACCTTTTCCTATTTCATTTATTTTTTTAATAATGAGTGACCTGATAACATTATTTACTTTTAAATTCAATAATTTATAAACAACAGTTTTCTGATGTTACTTATATTCTGTAAATGACAAACTTGTATTTTAAATGCCATTGAACGTTAAACTACAGGTAATATTAACACCAAGCTTAACTTTGACTGAACACAATTTATAAACCAAAGATGATTGTAGTCATTTGAAATCACCTGAATAAATGCTGAAAATTTAAAAAGATCATTTGAGTGTCATCAGTGTTCATTTGTGTACTTTACAGAATCCATTATACAATATCCTCTTTGAAATGTAAACACTATGTGTCCATTAGACAGATTAAGAGTCATCACGTGTTTTTATTTTATTTTTATGATAAATGGGATTTAAGAGTACAAAGCATGATGTATCACAATAATATCTTTAGTTCTCGCAGGTATTTATATGTTTTTTTGTATGACCATGAGTAAAAATCTATACCTTACTGTGAGGGAAACATGAAGTTTGAAAATCGTACTCAGATATCCTTATGTATACTCTTTCTTTAAGTGGAAAATCGAATTTCAAGCTTCCCAAAGACATAAGTTGGATAGCACTTTAACTTACTGCACTACACTCCTACTTCTTAGTTATCGAACCGGTTACTTTAATTTTAAAGGAATTAATCTATTTAAAGACTTTTGTTGAAGCTTTGAAACTGCAATCTTACGCAGTAATTATTATAAGGCTTTCAGAATTCATTTTAAGTAACAACATTTAATATACTTTACTGGATTCTGGAGTTCAAACACTCCGATAGTCAAACACTTTGTGAAAATAAATGTTGACTATCACAGTCGAAATCACTAAGTGATTTTAGTTAGACCACTGTTCAAAACCAGAAAGTGCTGGAAAGTTGTTTTTTCCTTATGTGGAACTCCTCACCAATGTGCACTCACGACCTTGACACGGAGAATCAAACCCATGACATTTGATTTCACGGGTGGACAGTGTGATGATTTCATTCAAGGGAAGATGAATGTGTGCTATTGTGAATTGATTGAAATTAGACGTACACGCCACTGAAAGATGGCTTGGTGGTCTGAAGATTACGGATTCGCCTAGGAGACTGGGGATGCTGGATTCGTTTCACTGTACCGAAATGGTAAATACACATTCATTAGGATTCTCATACTAGGTCGAAATGGATGTTCAGCGCCTCCTAATTGTTATAACTAGTGCCCTTGTGCCCTATCAATATATAAGGTAACGATACCGCCAGTTAGACAGCAATGAATCATCGATCGGACCAGTGACGCATAAAACACGTACGAGCAGTCTAGAGTGCCTATTGGCCCTGCTTCGTGCCTAGCTCAGCCAGTTAAGTTCAGAACACCAATCTCAGCCTCTGCGATATAAATCACGTATTTCGAATATACTGGGTTTATATACAAACCAAACAGACCACATCACTTCATAAAATAGAAAGTAACATTTGTGCAAGATATAGCCAAAAGTGGCTGTGAATGTGGTAGGCAGTAATTAATAGACTGGACAGAACTCAGGAACGGTAAATCGTATAACAATATTCTATGCGTCAAAATAAAGCTTTTAATAAGAGGAACATGAATATGCATAGTTTATCTACTTAATAATCATACCATAAAAGTATATGTATCGTATTGGTTCATAAATAATTCTCAAAAGTTACTATTCATAATTCCCGTCGGGACATAACACTAATTTTTAACAATGGTCTAGCTAAAATTCCTTTGTAATTAACACTATAAAAATTCTATAGTTTGAAGGAATCACTGTATTCTGAAAATAGAGACTAAACTTAAATGGTCTTGAACTTGTTTAGGACTTTCGCCTTAATGGTGTTAATGATACTTTCGGGAAATGAGGTTCGTATCTTGAAAATCTATGGCTAAGAAGTTGTAAATCAGAAAAGTAATGAGATTGCTTTTGGTGGTATTCTAAGTCTTGGTCAATCTAGTGACACTGCAGTACTGTGGTGAATGTGCTTATAATATTTTAATCCATAAAAATGCCTTGAGATTTATTATTCTATTTTTTTCTCACTCTTCTGTTTTGCTTTTTTAAGGACGATTTTCTGTTATTGAGTTCTCTATGATTTAGTATGCTGGTTTTTCATATTACCCCCCCCAAAAATACATACCATTTTTTCTTAATAGTTTTTCTCTCATAGATGAATTTTAAGAACTTTATCGGCTTATCCTTGCTATTATCATACTACTGTGACAAAATTATTTGGTTTCATGAATGTACACCCACTAAATGCAGTTTTAGTATTATTTTGTGACAATTTTCGAAGTGTGATTTAAAAGGCGAACAACTAGAACATATATTTCTAGAAACATCCAACACTTAAGCGGAATGAAAAAAGCTGTCAGAATGTGAATAATCCAGGACAACAACCAGACAGACTCGTTACTGCTGATCGGTATTTTACTCATATAAAATATGTCTTCACCTTTCTCTTTCCACAGAATTCATCGACCTGTTCAATCCCTCTTTTCGACATCCAGCGGATTTAACAACTTTCGTGGTCTGTTAAATCTGGCTGCCTTTATACTTGTCATCTCAACATCTAGAATGGCATTAGAAAACATTATCAAGTAAGTTTTATTGTGTATATAATCTTTTCTAATATTGTACAGTGTTTCGTGCAGCCCAGTGATTTTCAATAAAGCTGATTTACTTAAAATTAGTTTTTACTACCTATTACAGGAATTTCACCAGGGAGTTATATTCAGTTTTAGTATTGTGATAACCCTTTTATTATGAAACAACAACCATTTTTAAGTTGTGTCATAACTACACCAAAATTTAAACTGATTGGTTTTTTAAATTTAATTGAAGAGATTAACTTGGGATAAGTGTTTATTACACAAATTGATAACAGACTTAGTCATCTGGTCAGTCACCATAAAATCAGTGTAACAGAAGGGCGAATTCATCTTCAGCAAGGCTACTTAGTGTACATCCACTTTAGCCCCAGTATCAATAAGTACTGATGTTTTTTCAGAATGACTATGTTTTGTATCGCAAATGTATAAACAGCTATAGTATATTGGTGAGTGAGTGAGTTGGAGTATTTCAGTATATTTTTACTGTTCACTGTAAATAGGTAGCATCCAAAGGTGCATCTAAAATTAAGATTTATTGCACAACGGGTTCCACTTATCATTCTACTAGTCATCAATAGCTATTCAGAAATGACCTTTAGGTTATTGCGTGCAATCTACATTTTTAATATTTTTAAATTCAACCTGATTCTAATGTTCATTCCATTTACTTTAGCCGAAATTTTCGCAATACTAAGTAATAATAGTTGGTTCGGTTCTGTCGGCCTCCCAGCTTCCTGAAATACATACTGCTCAATTTTAAGTAAATACTAAGTCTAAACTGTCTCAACTTTTCATTTTCCCTATCCTACATGTAATAGTAAGTCTAGACGAATAAAAACGATTACAAGGTTTAAAGGGCAAAATGTCTGTTATATGACCTGAAAATCACGAGCTTATTTTTATCAATATACTTCCAATTAGAATAGTTACGCAAGAATTCATTTTACAACTATTGTTGACTCAAAATTAAATTTCATTTCTTTAAGAAATTTCAACTGAACAGGGACTGTTTTATTCTCTTAAGTTTACTGGATTTAGTGAAAGTATTTCTGGAAGAATTTAAATAGGTCTTTAACAGTGATTTAACAAATCTTTATTAACGAGTCGAAATATTTGAGCTCTTTTTTCAAAATCAGGATATTTTAGTGGTGATTAATTACACTTCACGAACTTAAACTACAATTTATTGATTACTTCATACATTTCAGTAGAATTACTTTTTAAATCGGTCAAGTACCTTATTATAATTTTCATAACTACGGTCATATTATATTGATTGGCATACTTTTTATTTTGCATGATCCAATGTTATCGTCTTTTTCAGGTTTTTACTTTATATGCACGTATAAACATTAAATTTATTAACGAATTACAGCTTTAGTTAAGGTTTCAGTGACTAAATTAATTAGTGTAGTCGTACAAAACCAGAAATTTGAGTGAAGACCTTAGTTTATATCACGTTATCTATGTGATGTTTGTTGTATGTGTCCTGATCAATTTACAATGTTTTTGATAAGATGAACGGTATTGCGCTATTATTATTTTTTTATAATAACAGTCTTGCGTAATTGGTAATTCCATTTCTTTAATACCCAACTTTAAAGGTTACTGAATACAATTGTACTTTGTAAAGTCTAACTTATCTATTCTCGTCAACGCACACTCGAAGTTATTCTAGTCAAAGTAGTTAATTGACCGACATGAGCTAATGAAAAGTGAATGTAATTGGACTAAGGCAAACGGATCCTACAGTTTGATACGAAAAAAATCATAATCTAAAAAAGGAATTATTTCTAGTTTACGCTTTCTGTTAATAGCTGATTTATAACGTGGATTGAAACAGGATTAAACATACGACACAACATCCCTTCATAAATTTCCTTGTTGTCATAATATTATGATATTCGGTTTTAGAGTTTCAACTTTGTTTGATTACATTTTCAACATATATCAGCCACAAAAGTACTTCGGAAAAAACCAGTGTAATCTTATCCAAATGAATTTCGATTCGAGAAGTTGACATTTTGCCCACGGCAATTAAGATTCCCTACCCCCCATTTCTAAAAAAATGTATGGTGTCAAAGAAAAATTTAGCGATCGGTGATTGGTGTACTTGTTTTGCAGGTGTGTGCTCAAGTGATAATGAATAAACATTTTGTCACCTTTAATAATTTTGTAATTGGTCGTAAACTGTTCATCTTTGTAATCTGATTAGTTGAAAGTGAAATCGTATCTAAAGCTGTGATTGGATGTCAGAATTTTGATTTTTACATTTGAAATTTAACGATAATGAATAAATCTTTTTGTGTAATGTAAGTCTTGTAAGAAATTTAGACATTTTAAGAAAAAAACACTAACTTAAGTGCAATCCTACTGTTAGTGAATGTGTATTGGGATAAATTTTTGATTTCCGATCAACAATTTTAATGTCACGAGTACTTATATATATCACATAAAAAGAAAATTTTTGGAAAAAAGCAACTGAAAACCGGTTTGAATATTTGATCATAGTGATTACTGAGTAAGGTCGGTAGTCAAATCTTTAATACCCAATTAATAAACAAATTATCACTAAAGTGTGTGCATAGGTTTTTTTTGTAAGACACGGTGTGTTAATAGGAAAAAGAAATCAACATATCAATAAATCATTATGACAACTTACTGGTTGAAATATGTATAATTCAGGTGAAGCAATCATAGACCATGATTTAATGAACTGACTTTGACAGTATATGAATGTAGTAATAAATTTAACCGAAATAGACACTTAATATTTAGTAAACGATTATTTTGTAAATGTTCATTCATAATGAGAATTAGACAACGTTAGATTTAAATGTGGTTAATTTGTAAAAGTCCATTGAAACGCTTTATTGTGTTCACTTGTAAATTATTTGTAGTTCTGTATTTTAAAATTAATTTTTTGGTCGTAATAAAAACTAATGTGTGTTTAATCAGCCATGTGTGAATATTGTTAACCGCCGTAATATGAAACCTGAATTATCTAGACATTATGAATGTAACCGTTTTTGACAAGCATTTGAAATATCAGTTTCATGAATTGTAAATGAACAAGCCAACGTCGTCTGACTGACTCAACAAATATCTATCGACTTTAAACGTATAAATATGAATAAGGTCAACTGTATCAATGAACATTTACAATGTTATTATTATGTATTTTCCTTATTATTATTATTATTATTATTATTATTATTATTATTATTATTATTATTATTATTATTATTATTATGTCAATTGACAAGATTCAATTCTCCTACTGTGCATTTCATTGACACAAAATTCTTTGCATTTTAAATTTTCCTATAATGCTCTTCCACTTATTGTGACTGAACACTGTACTGCAAATAATCCAGACCTTTATTGAATGACCTTTCTAATTTGCAAATGTTACAATTTGTAATTTTATATATATATATATATATATATATATATATATATATGTCGTAACAGATGTAAACGTTCACCATTATTAATACAGTACATTGTCAAATTCATTAATGCCATGACATATTTTTGGCCTTAATAAAATATGGAAATTATGGACTTATAACTGTATAGTGTGATTGTACCAGTAATTAATAGTTATATGGGTGTGCAAATGAATACGTTGATATAATCAGTGGTTATGGATAACAATGAAGGCTTAGTTGACGATCGGACGTAATTCATACGTACGCTTAGTTCTAGTTTCAAGTACTATTAATATAAAACTGGAATATGAAATTCTTGCATTTTGTATTCATGAAACGGATAATATTCTCATTTCTTTTAACACTTACTATATGACCTTTTAATCGGATTACTAATTTCAATGATGACGGCTTCAACTTGTTTTATAATGTCAGTATCTTATTCATAAGGAAGATATTTTTCTCAATTTTGTTTACTTCTCTATGAGCTTTAATCACATTCATCTTTGTAACTATCTTATTATATTCACTAATAAATTTATTCACCTAACGACAAAATAACGATTTTCACTATTTTAAAATATTCCTATTAAAATGTACTAGTAATAGATAGTTTATAAATATGTTACTAAGACATGAACGGTAATCACATTATTTGACATCTAAAATTATTAGATAAGTGTTCATAAAATGACAAAATCTTGTCTGCTTTCTTAACCTTTATATGTATTATACATTAGAAACAAGTTTACGAATACATGAGCGATAATCGCTTATCGATTATTAATATCTAAGGTATATCGAAATGCATTCGACATTAAAAAGTGCTTAATCACTTGACCTTTGCCAAAGACAAAAACAATATTGGGAAAAATGCCTTTAAATCAATTTGTGGGTGGCCCTGAAAAGGGCCTTTAATCGTTCTCGCGGTGGGACGTCCAAACTATTAGTTGGTAATGGCACCACACATCGGACAGTGTACTGCTCGTACATTCGGTGATGGGTCATAAGCACAGAATCTATGAAACATAGCTTCACAAGGACAGAAAACCCAACCCACTTCATCACCAGTTTCATAGGGCGGCTGTGCAAGATTACAGATGTCACACAAGCGGTTCTCTTCATTTTCTTCATTTTGGATGTCCCGTTCTGTTAACTCTTCGGAGTTTATAGAAACTACGTCATCCTCGTCATTACTTAACGTTTCATCCAAATCGACATTTCCTCGATGGATCAACGGCGTTGTAAAGTTAGTCGACATGCTTGTTCCACTGTACAACTGCGGTTCAGCCTGTAAGTTCAACGGCGTTGGTGGTAGTCTACCGTGAAGTTCTTGATAAAACTGGCTATAAAGTGAACTGCATTGTTCCTCAGACAGCCGCCTGATCAAGATATGGTGAGCATTGAGATACACCTGCATGATGGCAGCAGCTATTGCAGGTGAATCATCTGTCACAATGCCTACCACCTGTCGACTGTTGGTTAACCGTTGGAAGAACGACAGGAATCGAGAAATCAAAGTCGATGTTTCGCGACTTATAAATGCAATACAAA